CCCATATATACTAACTCCTGGTCGCCCAGATATTTGGAACCAGCGTGTGGACATTGGTCCCCAATCGTCCCATGAGACGAAGTCCTTGCCAGAGACACGTTACTTTCCGAAAGTTTCAGGTGACTGTACCCGTATGATGATCAGAAAGGCAGTTACCAGCAGGTGATTACCTGCTCTGATTTGTAATGCGCAGATATGTAGGTCGCAGTCGACTTCCCAAGGAGGGCGTTGCCGCTCGAATGGTCCTTTTGAGGTGGCATTGTACCGTGCAGCTGGGGAAACGATCAAGTCGCAGATATGTATACCAAATACATGGATAGGCAGCTCGAAGTGAAGAGGTTTCAATGGCTCCTCCAGGGATAGAAGGGACAACCGGACATGCTCCTTAAGATTCGAGGATACGATCAACACTTTTTCGGGGGGCTAAAAATCTTGCATCGTATATGCCATCCATCAACTGCAGATATATAAGGCTTCTGAGCATTAGTGGAGCACATGACATACTATAAGGGTTGTTCCTGATACCCAGCATATAATCCACAGCGTTTGCTCGAGCCCATTGTTGAGGCTCAGTTGAATGGCTATATTGTCTCCACATATATGGACCTTGGCTCTAGGAGACCCTGCAGTAGTATTTTTAAATCTGGTTGTCACACTATCTGTGCCAAGTATTGGCGGATGAGGCACTACACTGTGGTCTGTTGGCGAGAGTGATTTGAATTGGGCTTCTGTCTCTATTCCCTGCCTACTGTGATAATAATGCGTCAGATTAATTATATTTTCTGGAGAAAATGCACCTTTCACGGAGGTAAACCACAACCATGAGTCCCTCGCGGGGAGAAAGCCCATATCCGATCCGTTTTCCAGTAGAAAGACCATATTCCTGCAACCAGGTACCGGAAGAGGCAGCTGAATGAGAAGGAAGTGGCGTGAGATCGATAAGATTTGCGTTCCCGCCGTTCGCAGGAGTCTGAAATAGTTGCGTGGGGCTACAAGCTAGAAGCCCATCATCGTATACTACATTCCCATCAGGTATCTCGTGAGTCTTGGTGGATACTGGGGTCATTGTAAGTAGCCTGCGTTGGGATTCGAGAAATGCCTTGTGTATTTCTTCTGACCAGTACCCATTAAAGTACCGACTAGGCAGATAACCCTCGATCCCGAGTTCGATTAGTCTTTTTAGCTCTGGAGAATGGTCTATGTTGTCCCTGATCTGCGTGCAGACCTAAGTCGCTGTAAGAATCTCGCTAAAATATGTTCTAGACAACATACAGCCCGAGATCGAGCAATAGAGATGGGACGAAGAAATTTTAGAATCCCACATAGAGTCTCGTTCGGCAGGGACAATAATGAACAATTGTGCATGGTCGAGGATGGGGTCTAGGCTTTAGCCCCCTACCAGCCTATGTACGATCGTAAGCCACTCAGAACCGTAAATGCATACCAATTCCCATACCTGAATCTCCTGTGAATCTGCGACATTCAATTCTCGCTTGAGATGCCGAGAAACGGCACGATTGTCGGTCGAAAGTAAAATTGCAAAACGTAAACGACCAAACGAGCTGGAATATGCTGGAATATAGTGCCATCGATTAGGAAGTAACCCCACCTGATACAGGGGGGAACCGCCCCACTCCGCTCGACCTGGGGACCCCGGAACAGTGGTGGAGCAGCCTTTGATGCATTCCTCCATAAAAACTCGGGAAAGAGCAAAAAGTTCTACTCGTTACTGCTGGGTTTGAAGTTGCGGCCGATGGCCATCGCCGGTGAGCTGGTCGAGAGTAACCCAAAGCTTGGGTATGCAACGCGGTGCGGGACCGTTTGGGCTGGGAGAGGTCCCCCGTGCCCATCAATCAGCGCGGTTTTTTCGTCTGGAATCGACCAAGGGCTTCCATCTCTTCGTTCTTTGCTCGTTTGCGGCAGTGTTCGGTCCCGCTGGAATTCCAAGGCCACAAATGACGTAATTATGAGATGTTTTGGATGGCGCAGAGCGTTTTGATCTGTAGAGGAGCAAGAATACCGGCTTTCAAAGAGGCGAAAAGGGCAGCCTATTCTGCGAAAAGCGAACTATCCGTTTGTGAATCCGCGGGCTGGTACAAACCGAGATTCTGGAACCATTTTTCGAGCTTCAAGCATCACCAGTATCGAAGTATGTGACCATTTCCCTCGATATATCCAAAGGTTTGCGATATAGGGGCTTCATTTGGTTCATCGTCTCGCTCGAACACCGTTTCCCTCCTGCCCAAAACGGCCTTCCCGGCATCATATGACACTCTTATGTCGAGTCTATGTCACACAGAGAGTCGATCTGGGGCATCCAATGCGGCGCATTAGAGGCGATAAGGAAACAGAGGGCATCTGCCGGTCGAGATGGTACAAGGCGTCGATTCCCCCCCGGCCAAGTATCAAAATTGCCAACATGACGATTTGAAGCCATAGATTACCTCTGCTCGTTTATAGATGGCACGGTCATATGTGGTTGTCGCTTCCGCATGTCCTGGTCTAGGACACCACTCGCAGTTTCATGGACGCCGGCTTTGTTCCGTCCATCAAGTGTAGGATGCCATTATTCCCTTCATCTTCACACTCTCGCTCACTTTATGCCCCCATCTAGGCGTTTTAATCGGAGATTACGAAGTCGGCAAGGTATGTCCTGTTTGAGGCCTCGCGGTTCACCTTGCGCTTGCAGTTTCCTTTCCAACTCGTATATATTCATGTCATCTTTTCCTTTGCAGACGAGCTTGATCAACGCTTTTGCTACACGAGAGCCCTTGGTGCGTGTCTCGCGTGTTTCATCCCTTCAGCCCGGTGTATCAGCGTTCACTCACTCTGATTTATCGCAGAACCAATACTTTCCAGGCCGTGAGTACGCGTCACCCCCCGTCGGATCTCCATTTACTCTCCGAGCGCAGTAACGGGCCCCGTACAAATCCATATCGAGCATGCATTCCGGCTATATCTATTACACGTACACGACACTGAAGGAGCTCACGCGCCTACCCCAAAAACGACACCAGCCACCTCTCCCTCTCTCGACGAACCCGACGCGGCCGCTGCAGATTTGAGCGAGCTCTCTGTACACGCGGAGATCAGCAGTGATGATAACGATAGATCTTATTCTGGCGAATGGATCTCACGACGAGTTGAATACGGTCTGGCCGACGTCGTCCTCATCTGCTTCTCCCTCGCAAACCGCGCCAGCTTTGAAAACGTGGCCAACGTGGTTAGTAGAGTCTCACCGGAACACGAAAACTTGCCTGGAAGCATCGCTAATACCCTCTTTGCTTCACTTTGGCTGGTCAGTGGCGGAGAGAGATTGAACAATTTTGCCCTCACATACCGTTTATCGTCATCGGCTGCAAGCTAGACCTTCGTCGACCCGATCCGTACGTTGGTTCCTCGGGAGCAGACCACTCTCTCACAATAGCATCACAGAACAACGCCTGTGTCCCTGCCAAGTCGATCCCAGCCATCATCATACAACAGACTTCAGCTACGCCGGCCCAAGCCGGCTCGCTCTTCAACCGCTAGCACGAGTGGCTCTACAGCACCCGGATCCCCATCCATATCCGACTTTGGCCACAACCTACCCGAGTCTTCCGTATCCCGGAACTCGGTGGTTCGTCCCGTCAGCATTCTCACCAACAGCCCAACACCCGCCGCAAGAACGCATACAGAGCTCAGTATTGGAAGCTCATCAGCGCCGGCATCGGACGCCGAACAGCCAGGGAAGAAGCTAAAGGCTAAATCCTCATTCCCGATCCCGTTTCCGGGGGTCAAGGCCTTTAGGAGAAAAAGCGTCACAGATGCCTCTAGCTCTGTTTCTCGCGCACCGTCTTCCTTTTCTCAACTGGATATACGGCCACCCGAGCCGCCTCAAGCAAGTCATACGCAATCCGGGACCTCTGCGTCCGCACCGGCTGCTTTGGCAGCCACGAGTCCTACATCCCCAACAACAACAGCGGGAAAAGGCACATTACCACCTCCCAAATCACCACGGTATCCCAATATGCCACCCTTCATCCGCTCTATCTCGCACGCAAACGTCTTCCGCAAAGTCCTCACGCGATCCCGTTCGGGCTCCCGCGTCACCAACTCGCCGACGGACACCACCTCTGCCAACCCGTCGACTAACCCATCTCCCGTTGCGCATAAGGCAGAGCCGCCGAGTCGGCCGGTACTTCCGCATCGGTTCACGTCTGGATCGGCAGACGATTCGTCTGTGCGAAAACTCCATTCGCATGTCCGTACGAGCTCGCAGCCGTCTCCGACCGCCTTTGACGACAAGCAGTTGCAGATGCAGGTGGGGAGTGGGGGGAGCGGATCAGCAGGTGTGGCGGGCGAGGGTAGAGTGGTTGGAGGAGGACTGCAGGTGGGGATTGGAATGGGAGGCGAGGGTGGTGGATCGACGACTTCGTCTAATCCGAGGCCATCCCCGGCTAAAAAAGTGACGCGGATAGAGGAGCCGCCTGCGTCGATGAGACATCGTACGACGACGTATCAGGAAGCGAGGAGTACGGCTAGAAGATTGGGAGCGAGTGGATATATGGAATGTTCGTCTTTGACGCTGGTCAATGTGGTCAAGGTGTTCGATGAAGCCGTGCGCATCGCTGGTATGTGGTCCCATTAGCTCTATTCTCATGCAAAAACGGCGCTGATGGCTTACTCTGAACTCCAGTGGAGCGGCGTCAAGCCTCGGCATCCTCATTGCACGGACATCGACGACGGGGAAGGAACGAAGAGTGTGTGGCGATGTAAAAAATGGACGAGGAATGGATTTCACCGATTTGGGTATGAGATACGGACACGAACGAGACGACTTTGATGACGCTTGGTACACATACACGATCGTACTAATGACCGTCACTCCTTTTGTTACTTTTTTGAAATCAAAACCATCACTTACCGTAGAATTCCTCGCCGCCAAAAAAAATCAACCCGAGTGGGGGGTTGAACAGGGTGATCAGCGATGCCGGCGGGAAGAGGTGCAAAACGGCTAGTGAGCGCACCCAGGATCGAACTGGGGACCTTTTGTGTGTAAGACAAATTTCATAACCACTAGAACATGCGCCCGGCAGTATCAAAGAAGAACATTAAGTTTAATATAACGTTTAATAAAGCAATTCCATAAGGGAGAGACCATTTTCGCTCAGTAGCCACCTTCATCGGTGGACGTGTTACCGGGACGGTTAATACTTGTCGTATAGTCAATCGGCGCTAATATTGTAAGGCTTGCGCCCAACACAAGGTGGTTCAGATTCAGATCAACTTACCGCCCCCCCTATTCACGGCGCTACGACTAGGGGTAGGCCCTTATCCCAGAATAAAGCACGAAAGTGAGACATAAAGCTATAGACATGATACGGAGTTCTCCAAATCCAATCTCTCTCGACGAGCTCTTCGCACGCAATGCTTGGTTTAGACTAAAATGGTGGAGTCAAGTAACCACACCGGGTATGGAACCTTTTATAGATCTTCAACTTCAACTTCAAGATGAAATTATGCTCGAAATATTTGAATATTTTGTTGCCATCCAAGATGACGGACCTCTGATTCTCACCCTTCTATCAACTTCCTGGAGAAGAAAAGTTCTCGATACTCCAAACCTGTGGAAATACGTTCTCCTCGACCAACGCTCTACGGACTGGAATAGAAAGCTCGGTTTATCGATAATCCTTTCAGAAGAGGCGTCCCTTCACCTCACAGTGAGACTACCTGTCGCTGATTGGGCATGTATAAGCACCTTTGTTCGCCGTTGTCGAAGCATATTCGTCGAAGTCCCGACGTCTATGTATACGACCTATGCAAATGTTGAAATTTGCACCCGCAGATTAGATATTTACACAGAAATGACCCTTGGGTGTACAATCAATACATATATAGTCGACAATCTCGATGACCCCATGGAAAGCCCCAACGAATATGCTGGAGATTGGTGGAACTTGCCTGGGCGGTTTGGATCAGTCATTACAAGGGACCCACAAGACGGCTGTGAGTACCGGTACAACTCTGTTAACCACAGAATGGCCTTGGACCCCCTCAACCTCCTTAATTCCGACGTTTTACATCAAATAATAAAAGAATACCTCGCATTTGAATACGCGGGTATATTTATATTGACACGTCTTTCCCGTTCTTGGCGATATTTTGTCGAAACATCGCCTACCCTTTGGCAGATGGCTCCATACGACGAAATAAACCCTGAATCAGAGGCAAGACTACTTCAATGCATAAGATATTCACAGAGTTTACTACTGCATTTGACAGTGCAACTGCCCATTGGGAACTGGGCACCTGTTATCAGCATTATAAGTCGATGCCACAGTATTCGCTTCCAAATACCAAAGCATATGACCATTGAAGACGCAAGAATCGGTACTGAAGGCCTTTTCAAATCGATCCAAGACGAAATGGCCTGTACTTTCACCTGGTATCACCAAAAGTATGCCCGTAGACGGGGTTCTGGCATTGAATACCATCCGGATTGGTGGAAGCTACGATTAAAATTCGATGGCCTCGACACAGACGTAATTATAGAAATATTTGACTATGTAGTGGCCCAGCAGAAGGATGCTCTGCTAGAGCTGATGTCTGTTTCGGATCATTGGTGCGAACTCATCTATAAATCCCCAATTTTATGGCGCTGGATTACTATCGACGAGGACGACAGAGACTGGGTAGTAAAACTGCACTTATTCGCGTCGATGGCAAAGCAAATCCCCCTTCGTCTCACTATCCGACTTCCTTTCAGTGACTGGAGCCCCATAAGCATGCTTATTGCGAGACTTCAGGCCATTTATTTCGAGATACCGGACTCTATGTCGGGACAAGACGTACACGAGAATACTAAGAACTTCTTCGACTCCATAGAGGTTCCCCAGACATGTGACATTCAGTGGTATCGAGCCGGTGCGCAGCTGCCCAAAGAATCGAGAAAGCCACTTTCTTTGCATTTAGAGCATTTATCTACGCTCAATCTTCATGCGGACGGGTCTGAACATTCACGTTACCGCCGCTACGCACGAACCCGCAATACGCAGTATATAAGTGCTGGGGATCAATATCACCCCCTGGTACTTCTGAAGTACTACCACACACTGAAAATACTTTGTAACGCACCTCATCTACAAACGTTAGAGCTATCACACCATGCCTTGGACCCACGATCCTCTGACATTGATCTTCCTATCGTCACGCTCCATTTATTGAGGAATCTCTTCATCTCGGATATCAACACGGGGCGGAACGGCCAGATTCTTCCTCTACTTCACTCGCTAAAGGTGCCGAATCTTTCCGTACTTTCAATGGCTGGGAAGAGTATCGATCTCTGGGAGATCTCCAGCTCTATTCGAACATTTGGACGCCCTAGCTTCGTTTACCTGACTATAGTTGGTACAAATGGTGCCACGGCGGGCTCTGACCCGAGTCAAGGTATCCAAAGCAATACATTTCGACAAATCAGATCTCTTTCCCTTGTAATAGAGGAATCAACCTTCTTGAAAGAATGCCGGCGTACCGTCGAAGACATTAATAGACTTCTCAGGCTGTTTCAAGAAGCTACGGATATGAAGATCAATTTCCCGCCGAATTGGTCTCTGGGCAATTTTCCTACTAACACAAGTTGTGTTCACCACTCCGGTGAAGCATCGATTTCTGACGAAGCAGGCACAAAGACACAATGTAATATTTCACATGTACACCTACAAACCCAACTTACGCAGCCCGCGTCGGACAGCATCAAGGAGTTGGATATTAGTATTCCTGGACGCGGTAGAGCTTGTAGTTCAATGTTTTACGATGAGTTCAAATCTCTCACGACGCTAAAGTGTACACCTTTTGTCCTTCTCCCCCTCTTATCGAGTCGGACATTCCCAAGTCTCCACACCCTTCATTTTCACTGGCCCAAGGCACACCCTTGGTGGCCAGACTATATCGAGAGGGAACTTGTCTACTGTGATAACCAGGTAATAGAATGGTTGATTCAACATTGCGAGGCATTCCCCCGTCTTACCACGATGGGTTTCTCTTGGTTCCCTGTACTGCAATACTCCAAGTATATTCAAGCGCGGTTCGAGTGAGCATTGTCCTCAAGTTGCCAGCATATCCAAAACCATCCATACAACGCGCACTTAGGGTGGCACTCTGTAATATAGGAGACTATTCTAACCATCATCACGAGTTGTCATCAAGACCTTCCTATGAAGCCTACTTTCAAAGACTGGGTGAGGCCTTCCTATCCAGAGACTTTCTATACTCACAGCACACCATTATTTTTAGATCTTCCCAACTTCGACGCTAATACCCCCATCTGGAACTGACGACGATTCCTCTTCTGACTCAGGACGTAGTAGCAACTTGACTTCACACGAAGAGGACAACGACACATGGGAAGTAATGGACGAAGAATCTTGGTTGGACTGGAATATACGGCAGATAAAAGATGGCGACTACGAGAAAGCTCGCACGTATATAGACGCCCGTGTTCAATATGAACCGCTTCCCGGTAAGCTTCACGTTGGACTCTACATTTCAATACTTACGTATGACATAACACCAGGCATACCAGACAAGAATGGTGGATTTGATTTTGAGGACGTAATGCCATGCTACTACTGCGTTTGCAGCGGCGTTCCGTGCAGGATGACCCAAGCAAGGCGAAACTACGAGCCACACTGTGATCGGTATGTGGAAGGAAACTTGGTCGGTATCACTAAGGATACGGTCTTCGTGGAGGTTGAAACAAGTGCACATTAAGCTTCTGGAGACGAATAAACAATAACGCGTTCTAGAAGCGTACAAAGACACATTGTTCTCTGGAGGTGTAAGAAGGTATTCTGCTTCGTTTGTGATGACTCCAAGCTATGCACTATAGTTCACCATATCACACAAAATTATGTAAAAAATACAATCTCCTGTTTTATTTCGTGTGTACAGCTAAGACAAATGATGGACAGATCAGCTCCGGCTGATAGACTACAACAGTTCCTATGATCAATGAGAGTGATAACAAGACGAGAAAATGTGACACGACGCGTGCGCGCAAGTCCAGCTTTATATGCTGTGGTTCTGTGGTCTCCGACCCCACGTGAACACGCGTGTAAACCTCCGTTCCTGAACGGGGGTGTTCATCACATCCGAGTATACCGAGAACCGGGAACGTGTGCTCCCAGTGTTCAAATCGAGGCCGGCCTCAATATCGGCGGCAGGCACGTTGGTGTTGATGCCCGTGTGGACAGGGGCAGATTGGGAGTCGTGGCGGGCACGGTAAAGATCGTGATGGGCAAATGAGGGTGCGTAGGGGTGTTCATGGAAGAAGTGTGGTGGTGGATAGGGAAAGTGTCCTGCCGAGACACTGATGGAGCTCCGTGAGCTGGCGGCAGAAGGAGCAGGTGAAGGGACTAGGTAGGCCGAGCTCGGGTTCGACGTCGACGAGTACCGTCTATTATCGTTGACGAGGAGGAAGGAACGGCGGGGAAAGAAGGGTGGTGGGATGAGGAGTGGAGGTGGGACGGGAATGGTAAAGGCCACTGGAGATGGTCGTTTAGGCGATTGGGGTCGCTCTAATGGCTGTGACTCCTGTTGCGATGACGGCGGTTGGAGCCTAAGTTGGGGGCCATGTAAATGATATGTCCCCACTTCCGACATTTGCGTGTCCTCCTCCGTGTTTGCCTTTCTCGAGCGGAAACCTCTCATCAGCTCTCCGGGTGTCGAAAAGGCGTGGCGGTAATTACGCATCGCCTCGGATCCGATGCCGAAGAAGAAGAAGAAGTGGAATGCGAGGATAGGGAGCGGAAGGATCTCGAGCAAAACGATTGTCTTCCGGTGTGGGAGCTTATCCAGGTCGACACGCGAGACGACTTCAATACGTTGAAAGTCCCACGTTGAACTGGCCCACGAAGCGGTGTCGAAGAAGCCAACTTGGAGGTTCTTTACCAACATGCTAATGAGAAAAGCGGCGATAAGAAGGAATGAGGTTGTGCATAAGAGAATGAGACGGATATAACGATTGAATGGTACGGCGTGTTGAGCGTGTTCGGGAAGGAGTGAATTAGTCCTATACCGTGTGCGGTAAA